GACTTATTCTTATCTATGGTGAGATAATATACCTGGTTCGCTACGCTCACTACGTGGTTTATTCGGTGGTTATCGCACATGATCAGGGATTCTCACCATATACACCTCTGGGCGGGCCATTAACCCTTTATCGTTCATCTTGAATACAATAAAGATGATTTTAAACCGCTGAGTGAATGAGTGAGCGAGTTTATGTGTGTGTATGCGTGTGTGTGTGTTTGTGTGTGTGTGTGTGTGTGTGTGTATGTGTGTGTGTGTGTGTGTGTGTGTGTGTGTGTGTGTGTGTGTGTGTGTGTGTGTGTGTGTGTGTGTGTGTGTGTGTTTTTGCATACTTGTAGTCAGCATAACTTTTTTTTAGAATAGGCGAAAATCAATGCGCGCGAGCATCAGTGTGGCCTTATCCAAACAGAAGGTTTAACGGCTGCTCCTGGGGAATAAGATCGTGCTCAAACATAAACCATCCCCCTTCCCTTATAACAGATGGGATTACGTAGATTTAGTAATGACCGCCCATAGACCAACCTATAGTCACGTGAAACCACTAAAAATGCTTAGCTGTGTGTATACACGAATGTTTTCAGATAGATGCATAGAAATCTTATCTTAACATGGATGCTTATATAACGTTACATGTATGATGACCATGTGGTTTTCAACATGAATATGAACATCTACTATAAATGGACATGTTGATTTGATGACATCCTCTGGGAACCTCAAAATTGATGCGAGCGTGCGGAGAAAAAAAAGTTTTGGGGAAAGAAGCTGCCTTCTTTATGAAATCAAGTATTTTAAGGCAAACATACTAAAAGAGAACAATTTTATTTCTTTACATTTTTTTGTTGTTTCCAATTAGTTTTGGCATTCTGCGATATTAATATCGTTTTGCAGTATTTTTTTGCCGTATAGGACATATATTTGCTATGCGGCCATGAAGGTTGAACACACAAAGTATGCGCGCAGGGATGTCATCCATATGATCAAATCAACATGACCTTATATGACGTGAACAGGAATTTCACCACAGAATTTGGAGTAGTTCCAGAAAGTAATTCAGTTCAATTAACGTCTCACTGGGTTAAAGGGAAGGTTTCTCAACTTTGGTAGACAGCTGTACTTTATAATGGGAGCAATGAGAACAATGGTTAAGTTTCAAACGACTGCTATTCTAGACTAAATCTGTACCAGTTGGGGTTTTCTTCTGCACAATACCTTGTTTACGGTTCAATGTCTATCGGGCACCTTTCTCATAGCTTCTGACTGGAGTTCTGTTTCTCGCCGATATGCGTAACCGATGTAGGTGGCGCTTTTTTGGGCGAGAACACAACCCCAATTTTAAGCGTGGTTATGTTTGTATCCTCCTTAGTTCCGGTTCAAAGCACCAGCTAAATCGGTACAGTATATGTAGCGCCAAGAAGCAGTACAACAGTCCGAATATTCTGTGTCCTGTTTCAGTCTTGAAATAAATTAGGGTCGGTAAATTGGGATTATCTTTTTCTTTTTTTTTTCTTTTTTATTACACTTTGGCAATCTCTAGTGTTCCATCGTTTGGTCCAACTTATACAATACAGTAAAACTTGCATGAGGACACATATATATATATAGAATGTCAATGTTGGAAAACGGACTGTACAATGTTTCATCATTCATGTGTCAGATCATGGAGCTAGAAAATATTATGTCCCCCGTAGGAGTCCACTCAAAACAAGGAAAGGATTGGCAGGTTTTTCTAGGGTCGGTCGGGAAACAGGAAACACAACATCTTTCCCTAGGCCTTAGTAAGGTGTCTGATAGACATCAAGAAGTATACGTAAGCAAGGTAAGACGAAAATCCTACTCCGTTTTATTGAGTGTAAGCTAATGAAATTACTTTCGGATGTACCAGGGGTCTCTTTGAGGTTGCTAACATCAAACAAGGTTAAGAAAAAATCAATAAAACATTGGTTTCCCGAATGATAACTGGCCACCTATTTAAGTCGTAACCTGCCGCACACATGCCAGGTGTTATATGGGCCATTGCTTTTGGAGGACACTTGGAGTGCTTGGATTTTTTGGTATCCAAAACAATGCTTTATCCACGACCATGCATGGGGCAAATGTACATTTTTGGATACGTCTCGAATTATGCTTGATCCTAACCCTATCCTACTCAGGCATACAACTGCATAGGCAGGGTTATGGATAGTTGCTATTAATATAATAATAGACAATAAACGTTTAAGAAAGGGCGCTATTGAAGACAGAACACATCCGTTGCTTTCTTCAACGGTGCTTGACTAATTATTTTGAGTGGCTACTGGCCTATTGAAGTGCCCAGGCCATATGCTGGTCAGTACTCTTGCTCCCAGACTCTTTCTTGTTTAGGTCATGTTGATTTGATTATATGGATGACATTCGCGCGCGCATGAAGTTTCGTCCGCTTACCCAAAAAATGTTTTCTGTAAATCTATAATTCTGACCATACTGTAAGTCGTACAAAGCAGCCGCAAAATAAGCAAATATATATATATATATATATATATATATATATATATATATATATATATATATATATATATATATATATATATATATATATATAT